AATATATTATTATTAATAATCCAATATTTGAACACATTCAGTTCTTGTTGAACTAAGTTCTAATTAATCAGCAATTCTCAGATTTCCAGTATTCTGAATACAAAATTTATTTTATGACAGTTTCAAGATTATCATAATTATTTATCATATACCAAGGTCATGAATTAAAATTTTAAATAAAAACAAAAAATATTTTTTTTTTTTCCATTTTATATAAAATTTAACATAGTTGAAGAATAATTTTATGAAAACTAAATGATACAAAAATTGTAAATTATATAATATATAAAATTAATAATTAATCCTTACTAACAACTTGTAACCATATGAACAATTATAAATAGTAACAATCACCAATTTTTAATTTTAACACAATATTCTCAATAAATAAAAATAAATTTGAATTTTTGTATAAAAAAATAATACTATACCTATAGCTAACAGTCGCAAAACTAAAAAGTTTAATTATTAAATGTTACATTTTACAGGAAGTAATTTACCGTAATAGACAGATTTGTGTATGAAATCTWTTTTTGCAGTCAATACTTTCATATTATCTAAAGACTAAAATATACAAATTAATATATAGTAGCTCATTATTTAATTCGTCTTTAAACCATTAAAACCATAAACAAGTAACAATGTATAATGACATGCAACAAGATTTAGGAGACCAATTTCCCATATTATCCATTTTTAATTTTTGTCAATTCGGTATGTGAACGCTTTTATAYTAAATATTCAATTTACTGTTTGTTGAATTTGTTTTTCCTTTGATTCTCTCGAAGCTTACTGCAATATCTGGTCAAGTAATTAAAATTTTATGTCAAAATTAGTCACTGCACAATTGTATAAAATATATAGGTACCTACTTTATGACTTTATTATTATTTAAGTTTTTAAGCAGATAATAATATAATAGGTTATATGAATTATTTTGATATAAAATGGGATATTGCGTTACAAACCGGCTTAAAGAGATATGTATACAGAGTTGTTATGATTCAATCGAACGAGTGCAATATTATAATAAGTAGGTATGTGAAAAACATATTATAATAGCATATTATAAGATATTCAAGAGTTTCTTTCTTCTTATATTTACACAATTTAAAGTACCATCATTAATCTTATCAGTTCTGTTATTTTTAAGTATTCAAAAAATAATAACTTCTTATTAAAATGTATATTGTATCTGTTTCACACATCACAAGTGAATACTACCAGCTAGGGCATAACTTAATATTTATACGACGTTGAGCTAGCTCACAGAGTGTATATTAAAAATATTATTATAAGTAATAGTTAGTAAATAATTCACATTTATTTACGATTTCCATTTGAACTAAATGTTAYTTTATAGTTGTTAATTTTTGTCATAAATTAAATTCTAAAATAACTTAAACATGTTTATTCTTGTGTGCTCACAATTKTTGATGTTAATTATTGTCCACGCCATCAATGGATATAACTACACAACTAATTACATAACTGTACCGGTAAGTAAAAACAAAACAAATTAATATAATAATAAGGAAAACAATTTTAAATGTTTGTTTCTTGCCCAACTGTTTCCATCCATGGTATCTCTATTCAAAACTCACAAGTAAAATATCTTTGACTAACTATAGATCGCAGATTAACCTGGGACAGCATATTAAACCTAAACAAATAAACCTATACACTCGAGACTCGATTACGCCTTCTYAAAACATTTATTACAATAATAAATACACTAATATTAACACAAAACTTCTCATATATAAATCTTTAATCAAACTAGTCTGGATTTATCTAACATGATGTTAAAATACAAACCTTTCAAATATAGCACTCAAGATACTTTTAAATGTCCCTCCTTACGTTTCTAAACACGACACAATCCACTACGACATAAAAATAAAATTAGGGCACGCAGAATCATTATCAACGCTACCACAATCATCTTACCTTCACAGTAGCCCCTTAATACAAAATCTCACAATCTCTTCTACTCCTGGAAACCCACCCAAACGTTTAAAACGGAAATGGTTTCTTGACCTACTTGTTCATTCCCTCCCAACAGCTAATCCGTATAAGCAGAACACCAGTTTTGTTTAAAATTTTAAATAATTGCATTTAAAAAAAAATCAACTAGTGAGTGTCATTACTGGATGACTTCTCACATTAAGTATAGCCTGTTAGTATTAAATTATTTCAATTGTGTAAGCGATTGTTAAAATTAATTTATATGTTTACTCTAATCAGTCTAACCACATAAGCCTATAAGCTCCTAAGGCATAGATTCTTTCTTTCAAATAAATAAAAAAAAAAAAAAAATTTCTGTCTCAAAATTTAAAAACTAATAAAACCCAAACCTACATAACTATTTTTATTTGTTTATAAATATTATTAGCGCGTTTGAGATGTTCCATATAAACAATACMCACTCGATGTTTTSAAGATATAAGCCTCGTTGAACTTAATAATAATTATCGTTGTATATAAATGTTATAGACAAAATAATACATAATAYTATTTAAAGTAATTTTTACCTTTTAATCGCGTATGCACATTATAAATGCAGTTTCATATGAAATTTAATCATATTTGATTATTTATTATTTTGTTGAAGTGTTTCTATGAAATTGAAATATTGATGCTTGAATAAACTTTCAAGTCAAAATCTCAACGATTGTTTTAATTTTAATTTATACTTCATATCATGTTATATTTTCTAGTTTAAATGGCTAATCTAWAGTAGATGCATTCTATTAAATCATAATTTTAAAGGAAGATCGATATCACACAACTTAATATGACGTATTGATTTAAAAACACAAATACTATTCAATGTATTATACTAAAACATTATTTGTGTCAAAATGGCTAATGAGCAGTAAAAAAC